CAGATTCACACTTCTTGGAGGAGGTGACAGTTGAGACTGGAGAGGTGGGTAGGAGCTACCAGAACAAGGAAGTGAGAACATCATGAGAAAAGGCATAGAGGAATGAAACAGTTAAACATTCTGGAATAAAAAGGCGATTGTTAGGAAATGAGACTGGAGCAGTAGGCACGGGGCAGGACTAAAGAGGCAGGCAGGACTAGGAGACGTTGTATGGCTGGTGGGGGTTATTTGTAAGTGCTATGGTCTGAATGTTCATGTCCCCTCCCCCAAAATTCGAATGTTGAAATCCTAGTATTAATGGGTGGGGCCTTTGGGAATTGCTCAAATTATGAGGGTGGACACCTCATAAATGGGATTAGTGCCTTATCATAGAGGCTCCAGAAAGACCATTAGCCCCTTCCACCAGATGAGGACAGAGAAAGAAGTGCCAGCTATGGACTAGGAAATGAGCCTTCACCAGAGGTAACCATGCTGGCACATTGATCTTGGACTTCCCAGCCTCCAGAACTGTGAGTAATAAGTTTTTCTTGTTTATAAACTACCAAGTTGGTGGTATTTTTTTAATAGCAGCCCGAAAGGAATATGACAGTAAGTAACAGGGAGCCTTGTGGGTTTTTGAGATTGGTATGATGAGAATCAATATTAAAATAGAGGATGCAGGACTTCCCTGGCAGTGCAGTGGTTAAGAGTCCACCTGCCTATGCAGGGAACACAGGTTCGAGCCCTGGTCCGGGAAGCTCCCACATGCCATGGAACAACTGAGCCCGTGAGCCACAACTACTGAGCCTACACTCTAGAGCCCACGAGCCATAACTACTGAGCCTGCGTGCCACAATTACTGAAGCCTGCGTGCCTAGAGCCCATGCTCTACAACAAAAGAAGCCACTGCAATGAAAAGGCCATGCACCACAACAAAGAGTAGCCCCTGCTCGCCTCAACTAGAGAAAGCCTGCGCACAGCAATGAAGACCCAACAGAGCCAAAAATAAATTAATTACTTTTTTAAAGACCCCTACAACAAATTTTATGACTACAGCTCAAGAGTTTAGAAATCAACTCATACATGAATCCTGAAATTTTTCCATTTTTTTTTTTGGCTGTGCACGGCATGTGGGAGTTTAGTTCCCTGACCAGGGATCCAACCCATGCCCCCTGCAGTGGAAGCACGGTGTGCTAACTACTGGACTGCCAGGGAAGTCCCTGAATCCTGAATATTTTAAAAGATGGTATCAAATGTTTTGTAAAACTGTCCCAGCATTTATGACTTAACTGTTCTTTTAACTGTTCTTTTAGATGAGATTTACTTTTTTCTTTTTGCTGAATTGCTCATTTAGCTGTTTAGAAAAATGATATCAGCTGTAAGGGATTTTTGCATAATTGGCCATCTGTTTCAAGTTAATGATTACAGACAGCACCCTGCAAGTGATTCATAGGTTTCATTAACTTCCTCCTTCAGAAACCAGGAAATAGGTGAAATCCATAATTATCAGTTTCACTACAGCATCTTTTTGAGGTAGTAAGTATTTTGGTCGTTGAGTCTGAGGCTTTACTTGAAAAGATCATTTGTTTAAAAAAGAAGTTTTGCCGGTTTGTATTTGGAATCTGAATACAGTTACCAAGCATCCCACAGCTGCTATGTAATGAACTTGGAACCAGGAAACCTTGATTCAAATCCCGACTCCGCCACACATGAGTCCAGTGACTCGGGCAAGCTACTTGACTTCTCAGAGCCTCATGTAGCTCAACTGCAAAATGAGAAGACTCCTTGCCTCAGTGCTATGGTGAGGATGGAATGACGACCCTGTAGCCTTAAACGCCTCGCACAGCAAGGGGCACATTACTGCCTCCCTGCCATCAGGTCAGGCCAACTCCTTCCCTCTTTTCCTTAGCAGAGAGAGTACAGCTCTTCATACAGTGCCATTTGTATCCTTATAGCCACCTCTCTAGAGAAAAGGCAGGACTTCTGATATAGTCATATAAAGGGGGGAAATTTTTTGTTTTTTCCCCACTGACATCTCAAAAGTTTATACCACTATTCCTCTTGATTGGGGAATGGGATGAGAAATGGGATCTCACTAGTGTACATGTTATTTTAATAAATTACTCATTTCAAAAGTAACTATTGAGGACTTCCCTGGTGGCGCAGTGGTTAAGAATCCACCTGCCAATGCAGGGGACACAGGTTCAATCCCTGGTCAGGAAGATCCCACATGCAGCGGAGCAACTAAGCCCGTGTGCCACAAATACTGCGCCTGCGCTATAGAGCCCGTGAGCCACAACTACTGAGCCCGCGTTCCACAACTACTGAAGCCCGCGTGCCTAGAGCTCGTGCTCTGCAACAAGAGAAGCCACTGCAATGAGAAGCCTGCGCCCTGCAACAAAGAGTAGCCCCCGCTCGCCACAACTAGAGAAAGCCCGCGTGCAGCAATGAAGACCAAACGCAGCCAAAAAATAAATTCATTCATTCATTAAAAAAGTAACTATTGAGATACTTTGACATACACTATCATGATCAATACTTTATACTTAACTCTTTTTAGTCTAGATGGAAAACCTGCATTAATGTTGATTATATGCATAAACATACTAATATATATATCTAGGTTATAAAAATTTATGAACTTTGATAAAGCACATCAAAATACCTAATGTTTATCTTGAAATTTTAATGCAAGTCGGCACATTGCAAACTTAAAATGCTGAACATGGTTGCCAAGTTATTGCTGAGACACCCTGGAAAACTTGGGAAGCAATATAACTTCATGGAATTTGGAGCCAGAAAAAAAAAAACCTGGGTTTAAACCCAGGCTCTGGGACTTCCCTAGTAGTCCAGTGGTTAAGCCTCTGCACTTCCAATGCAGGGGGCATGGGTTTGATCTCTGGTCGGGGAACTAAGATATCACATGCCACACAGCATGGCCAAATAAATTAATTAATTAAATAAACACAGGATCTGCCACTTACTATATGTAATTTTGAAAATTTTCTGAACCTCAAAGCATTAGTTTCCTATCTGTGAAGTAGGGATAATAATAATACTTCTCAAGGATTAAGTGGATTGAGTAAAGTCATGCATCTAGAACGCAAAATAGTATCCCCTTATGATGAGGAAGACTTAATGCAAAGTAAATAAATATGGAGTCCCTGGTTACAGGACAGATATTTAAAGTTGTCAGTTAAGAATGCTAACTAGCTCACTTAGCTTAGAAACAAGAAGATCCAAGTTTAAAATAACGGCCCAGCTTTTTTGCTGCTAGCTATGTGACCTTGGCCAAAGGCCAGACACATTGTACCTCAGCCCACTCATTTAACTGTTAGGTATTAATGATATTAGGTATTTTAATGATATTAGTTACTGACCATACACCAATGCAATCTGATAGGTTTACACATGCACTCCAGTCTTTACAATAACCCTTCAAGGTAGATATCCTTATCTCTATTTTACAAATGGCTGAAACTGAGAGAAGTTAAACTTGTTCAAGGCCACCCAGCTAGTAAGTGGTAGAACCACAGTGGTAGAGCCACAGTGGGGTTTGTCAGTCTCCAAATCCTGTCCTTAACTACCCAATGAACTCTCTGCCACCTACCTCTCTTAGAGAAGATCAAATAACATTTTTCCTGCAAGAGTGCTTTTTGAATTGAAATGTCCTATACAAACGTGAAGTTTTATCGTTAATACTCTATATCAGTCTAAATAATTCATAGAATGGGTCTGTGATTTGCCCCCTCAGTGCCTGGGAACCCTGAAAGAACAAAAGGTTAGCTTCAAGATCTCTTTCATCTCCTCCTGGAATTTTGTCTTGACCTCAATTTCGCTTGAACTGACCTGATAAACAACATTAAAGAATAGATAGCCAAATGCTGCTCTGTGCCACCCAAAGGCAGCTCTCTGCACTCCCAGGAGTCCAGGGCAACAAGGTCTTGTGCTTTTCCTTGAAATATGGACAAAATATTTTCTTGGGCTGACTTTTCACACCTGCATTTGCAGTTAGCTTGGGTAAGTATAAATAAAAGTGGTCACATAAATGTCCGCCTAAACTAGGGCTTTGGAAATCACCCTATAACAAACTCCAGTTCCTGGCACACATGCTATCGATCTAATAAAAGCAAATTTCAGTCCCTTTTCAAGGATATGGGGTAAAATTTAGAGGGGCTTTTCCCTCTGAAATTTTTGTCAACTAGTCCCGCATAGTTTAGTATAACTCTCTTAGTTATCCACCCTTGGAATAATAAGTTTCCCGGAAATACCAAAGTGTTGATGACATGTGACATGACATATGCGGGTCAAAATGGGGCTCGGTTTGGTATCACCCGGAAGGCACCCCCTAGCCCGCCAATCCCGGAGATGCTCAGCGTGGCCCGCTCACCCCTGCAGAGGAAGCAGGAGGGCAAAGTCCAGACAAAGTGAAGGGTGTTAATTTGCCGAGCCAGATCTCGACGCTGGGAAGGCGCCGAAGCTGCTGAATCTCGGGTTACTAGAGCATGCTCATTTGCATGAGGAAGAAAGGTCGTCCCGGGTTTCCTAGAGGCCAGATAGAGGCTGGAGAATGTGACTTTCTCCAGTCCTGGAACTTACCTCTTCCCTTCCCTGTAAGGCCCTCTCGCTCCCCCTGGGGCGCTCGCAGCCGCGGACCCCACCCCGCTTCCGACTTCGGGATCAGGGAAGCGCAGCTCAACCAGCCGGAGCCAATTTAAACCTGCGCGGGGCGGTGGGAGAAGCGGCGAGAGGGAGCGAGAGGCTGAGCCCCAGCCCCCGGCGCTTACCTCCGACGGCGAAATCTCAAACACGCTCGCGATCTTGGCGTAGAGCTCCTGGACGCTGGAGAAGCTCTCCACTGTGCCCGTGGCGCTGCCGTGGGCCAGCTGCGTGTGGAAAACCAGCCTGCGGGTGGGCGCCGGGAGGCTGGCTAGGCTGCCGCCAGCCGCATTAGTCTGCTCGCCCTCCACCAGCCGGGAGGTCTCCTTGTTATTGAATTTCTTTTTTCTCCGCAGCCGCAGAGGCATCTTGCCTGGCCGAGGGCGGGGACCCACCTGCGCTAACACGGACTGCTGCCTCCTTGGCCTGGGCCCGCGGACTTTGTGCTAAGGGCCTGCCGGCTCCGGGCAGGTGCAGCCTGGGCTGGGCCAATGGCAGAGGCGCTCCCGCCAGGCCCCGCCTGCTCAGGGCCCTCCTCCACCGAGAGGAGCTGCACCTGCAACCCGCCGAGCAGCCACCTGCCCTCCGGATGGATCAGGGAGAAGAAAAGTTGGACCCTGAGGAAGGGGAATGTTGCCTACCATTCCAGTTCTACAAGGATCAAGCCATCAACCATCGCAGCTGCCCCGGATGGTGTGCCCTGAGGGGAATTCAGGATGGAAAAAACAAGGAAGCATTCTGTTATTTGGATACTGGCCCTAGATAGTTAAGATGCACATCTAAGGAATCATTTCAGTGAACTCAGACTCTTGCATCTTCCCCTACATAGGAAAGCACTACAATCATTAACTTGAGACGTCTGTCCTTTGTGATTAGCAGTAATCTTTTCATGTTCCATAACACGTTTTTATCCAACAAAAACACCCATATATCCTGGCTCCTCCCTTACCTCTTCTGAGCAGTTCCTCAGAGCTCTCTGAGAGGCTCTCCTCTGCTATAGTGCTCAGTAAGGTCCCCGAATGAAACTTAACTCAAAACGTTTAGGTTGTGCAGGTTCTTCAGTCGATAGCCCATTCCCTCCTCTCATCTCCTGGCTTCTTTCCCCTCCTTTAAAAATGGCTCAATTTCTAGGGATTTCCCTGGTGGCGCGGTGGTTAGGAATACGCCTGCCAATGCGGGGGACTCAGGTTCTAGCCCTGGTCCGAGAGGATCCCACATGCCCTGTAGCAACTAAGTCCATTCGCCACAACTGCTGAGCCTGTGCTCTAGAGCTCGCAGGCCACAACTACTGAGCCCACGTGCCACAACTACTGAAGCCTGCACACCTGGAGCCATGCTCTGCAACAAGAGAAGCCACCGCAGTGAGAGGCCTTTGCACCGCAATGAAGAGTGGCCCCCACTCGCCTCAAGTAGAGAAAGCCCGCGCACAGCAATGAAGACCCAATACAGCCAAAAATAAATAATAAATAAATAAATTTTGTTTTAAATGACTCAATTTCTATAAAAGCCTTAGGATTCTGATTCTACAGAACAACACATCTTAGAATACAAACATGCTGGCCCTTCTGGTGATGGTCATAAACGTGTGGTCAGCACTCACACACGACTGGGCCACATGCCTTCGTAACTGTATGTCTGGGCCATTGGGAATAGGAATTTAAGTGGAAGTCAGTCTCCATCTTTCTTCTCTGTACCTTACACCCTGCAAGGCAGAATTGGAAGGAGAAGTTTTGAGATTAGTGCCACATTGAATTCATAGTTAAACACCCTCAGCCAAGCCCTTAGCAACTCTCAGTAATCCTTTTTACTTCTTCCTGGGCATCTTTCTCCCCCAAACGTTCAGCACTCCCCCAAGGTGATTTACTCCACCTCCGCCCTCCTTGGTCTCTGTAGAAAACCCTGTCTCTTATTCTACAGAAGAAATTGAGGCCACTCAGTGTGACTCCTGAACTCCCTCAATTCCCCACCCTTTGTCTGTAATTCCACCAATCTCCCTTCTCCAAACTCTGAAGAAATCTCTTCTTTTATTTGACCCTTGAGCTGATCTGTTCATTCCTTGAGGATCTCTATGTTTAAGCTACCTGTTGACTCTCATCTTTCATCTCTCTACCTGGTACCATCCACTGATGGTCAAAAGCCCAAATCTTTTACATTGTTTTCAAGTCCTCCACCCCTCCGCCCCTGCAGTCACCTCTGCATTTTCACAGCAAAGCAAAACAGTCTTGAATTAGCTGCATTTCCTCAATTCCCCCTTTGCTCTTAGACTCACTGTGATCAGACTTTGCCCTCACTCTTCACTGAAGTTGCTCTTACTATGGTCAGCACTTAATCATCAGACATGATTAATACTTTTCAGTCTTACTTCACCTTTTGGAATATCTGACTGCATTGACCATCTTATTCTTAAATCACACCTCTGTTTTGGCTTCTACTGAAATAAAAACGTACAACATGAGAGTTCTGAGTTTCAGTTTTATTTGGAGATTTACTGAGGACTATAGCCCAAGAGACAGCATCTCAGATAGCTCTGAGGAACGGCTCAGAAGAGGTAAGAGGGAGGTCAGTATCTATGTGCTTTTGGCAAAGGGGGTACATGCACCCAAGCACACATCTCAGTAGAAGGTTGCTGCCAGTCATGAGGAACAGATATCTTCATAAAGGGTTTTAGTGCTTTTCTAAGTATGGGAAGGCACAAGAATCCAAGTTTATAAAAAATTTCTTCTGAAAATATTTAACTATTTGAAGCTTTGTTCTACCAGTTTTCCCATAGTCTTATTCCTAATCTTTGTCCTGAACTCCTTTCAGGGTGTGTTAAAGGTTAGCAGCTGCAGTGGCTAATAACTCAATTCCACTTGTGATATCAACAAATTTGAATGAATTCCTCTCTTCTTGAAGCTTCCAAGATATCTTGAGATTCCTGCACTTGTCAGGAGGTAGCCTTCATTATTCACCTGATAAGTCTGCTGGGAACCTAAGAGTTTCCAATTTCTGGAGGGATGAGGTAGAGAAAAGATAAAAGTTTCAGTTCTGCTTACAAGGATATAATTTACCAAATTGCTGTAAGCCATAATTAGCTTAAGGGGAAATGTTTCCTTATATCTGGAAAACACAGAGTAAAAGCCAGTAACATTTCAGACAAAAAATTTTAAAAAACATAAAAATTATAACCATATTCAGTAGTTCACTCAGTCCCATGTAACTAATCCTTGATCTCTTGTTAACAGTTTTATGAAGCCATCAGGGTTTCCATTAAAATTCTTTAATTCCTTACCCAGTTCAGCTGTATGATCTGAAATTTATCAGAAACCTGTACTTGTCAAACAGTCCTTTCTATGAATCTTGAAGATGAAGCTTTATTTTTTTGCAAAAACATCATTACAACAATAACTGTCTATAAATGACAAAAGATTTTAAAAGGCATAGTTAAAGATCTTATTTCAATGCAACTGACAAAGAAGCTTGGTTACAGCTGTGACATACAACATTTTAAAATAACTAGAATTATGACTGATAACATTTTGCCAGGACATACCAGATTTTTAGGAATTCCATATAATTTCTAGAATACCTGTATTAATAATATTTACCCCGACATAACATAGGAAGGTTTATCACTCATTTAACAATGCTTCCCATGTAATTTAACATACCAAATAAACCTAATTAATTTAATACCTCTTTTTGGACTTCCATGGTGGTCCAGTGGTTAAGACTCTGCAGTGTCAATGCAGGGGGCACGGGTTCAGTCCCTGCTCGGGGAACTAAGATACCACATGTTGCGTGGTGAGGCCAAAAGATAAATAAATTAATTAATTAAATAAAATTATTTTTTAAAAAGGGCAGGCCTTCCCTGGCAGTCCAGTAAGCCTCTGCACTTCCACTGCAGGGGGCATGGGTTCAATCCCTAAGATCCCACATGCCATGCAGTGCAGCCAAAATAATTAATTAATTAATTAATTGAAATTAAATAAAGAAAGAAAGATTTCAAAGGCAAATTCAGAAAGTTATGATACATTACTTAAAAGGTAAAGAGGGACTTCCCTGGTGGCACAGTGTTTAAGAATCTGCCTGCCAATGCAGGGGACACAGGTTCGAGCCCTGGTCCAAGAAGATCCCACATGCTGCTGAGCAACTAAGCCCGTGTGCCACAGCTACTGAGCCTGCGCTCTACAGACCATGAGCCACAACTACTGAGCCCATGCGCTGCACCTACTGAGCCCATGTGCTGCAACTACTGAAGCCCGTGCGCCTAGAGCCTGTGCTCCACGACAAGAGAAGCCACCACAATGAGAAGACTGTGCACTGCAACCGTAGCCTCCACTCGCTGCAACTAGAGAAAGCCCATGCTCAGCAACAAAGGTCCAATGCAGCCATAAATAAATAAATAAATAAATAAATAAATAAGGAAAGAAACTTTACAATCTGTTACCGAAAGCAGATCGACTTTCTAAGAGAACTTTGTTTTCTTCACAGAGAGAGAAAACCAAATTCAAGTTTTGCACCACTTTACCTTTACTCTTAAAATGTATCTACTCAATTAAATTCATTCTAATCTAAGTCAGTCCTGACCACACATAGGATTCCTTTCTAAGGATTCTTTTTTAATTTCTTCCCCAGGAACCTTCCACAACTTGCTATATCCATATTAATTTGTCCCTTATTTTCTTTCTTATTCAGAAATAACCAGCTTTAAGACAAAATTACTTTATTTTCCCTTAACAAAATGCATTTCCATTCCTCATATCTTCTTTTACTGAAAACACAACTCTTACTTTCCTTGCATAGTGAAATGTTTCCCTTATTATTTCTATTAGCTTTTTTTTTTTGCCATATGTGGGCCTCGCACTGTCGTGGCCTCTCCCGTTGCCGGACGCGCAAGCTCAGCGGCCACGGCCCACGGGCCCAGCCGCTCCGCAGCATGTGGGATCCTCCCAGACCGGGGCACGAACCCGTATCCCCTGCATCGGCAGGCGGACTCTCAACCACTGCGCCACCAGGGAGGCCCTCTATTAGCTTTAAGTACATATTTTAATTAGAATTCTCAACTCTTAAAAATTTTAATTTCTAGTGAAAACAAAGAAGTAAGCACTTAGGAAATTACATTACCATTCTGTAGATTGGCAAACTTATAAACACTATTTATAATGTCTAAAAACATGCTTTCTTATAGAAAATGTCTCAGTGTGGCACCAAACATATTTATTAGTAGTCCTTAAATATCTTTAGTTTCTCTGTAAAAGAAAGTCAGTGTTCAGTAATTAATGTTTCAGTATCTTATTTTATTTGGAAATGACCTAGATAGTCAATAAACTTCCATCATTTAACTTAATTTAGAAAAACTGTAAAGTTTCAAGTTAGCAAAATCTGG